AAGCTTTGTTCTCCCAGGATCCAGGGACGCTTTATTCTTTGTGGCAACTTCACTCTTGGTACCTTTGGTTCCCTGTGCTCCTTGTCGGTGCTCTGCGTAGTTCGCACTAGGGAAATCCTCAGGATGAGAAATGTTCCTCTGCGCTATGCTTTGTGGGCTTCAAGAAGAATAAAAAATACGTGACTGTACGTGTGCGGTTTTATTTTACAGTTAGTGTATCTGAGGGCCTACTTCTCTATATTGTTCCTCCATCAAACCTTCTCTATACAAAACACTGCTATTGATCCAAATAAAACAGAAAAACTAGTATATTTTAATTGGGCAGCTTGGATCCAATCCAAGCTTATTCCTCACTGGTCTGTCCTAAATCCGTATCTAGGGCACTCGAGCCATCTTAATTGTAACAATCCAAAGATTCCATCACAAAATATTCTATATTCATTAATTGTGACAAGCATGCAAATAACAAGTGTATGTTGGTATGTATTGGAATAGCAAGTTTCTGCAGTAGTTAGAAACCTTCTCTTAAAATTAATCTATTTTTAGTCAACTTTTTTTCTATGAATTTTGGCTTCAGAATCATAATTTCCCTGAGAGCAGCTGGTCTGTTTGCTTTTTCACCTTTTGTTGCCTTAGTTTTCTTCAGTACTACAGTCACTTCAGTCAATGTAACGTCACTGGGAAAAAGGCTTTGAAAATCAGTTTGTAGAGTGTGTGAGGGACCAAATGCGGATTTTTTATTTTATTTTATTTTATTTAAGTCTTGAGGAGCAAGAAGCAAAATTGAAAGGAACTGCAATCTACTTTATATAGTGAGCCATCTGCTTCTCTTTTAAGCAAATTAATTGCTGCAGTAAAGTTGTTCTTGGTAGTTTGTCCCAAACTAACGTTGTGTGCACTACTGTGCATTGTTTTATGTGAACATACAAAGCCGAAAGAAGACATGAGTTCGACTCCTATCTTTTTTTTAGTTAAAGGGGAAAAACGGTGTCTCATCTGAGAGTCAGGTTTTACAAGCGAAGGGACTAGCTGGTATTCTTCGTGTCCATTCTTAGGAAGCAAGACAACTCTAAGACATGGAAGAAAGTAATGGTTAACTAGAGATTTGTCTAAGAGTTGAATTGTTGCAATGGCAAGTAGTCTGCCTAGCTGCCAGCCTTGTGCTTCCGTTTGTCAGTATATGAAAAAAATGTGGTTTATCACTGACTGCACTGCAGAATGGATGCAAGGTGCTACCAGTTTAGAATAGATGGTGCTCTAAATTTGTTTTCTACTGTAAAATGCTGGAAGGGTAATGGTCACCATGAACTGAAATCTATTACTTAAGTTGTCACATATTCAAGACAGTTGCTTTGTCCAGCAGAATTTCATAGGATCGCTTTGGCTTTGAGCACCAGTTCTTTTGTGGACAGTACAGCGTGTGTGTACGTATGGCATATACTGCTGGTTTTGTTTGCTAAATGCTGTGCTGTTTCTGTATAAGATAAACTCATGGGTGTCAAGTCCAGTTTAAGCTTGAAAAAGTTGACATCTGATTTTTCTGTGAATTTTTAGTATTTTTTCATGGTATGGTATTTTCTGGAAAACAAAATAAGTCTACGTAGTAGGAATTTAGGGAGGCAAACGGGTTAACTGTTCTATTTTGTCCCCTTCCCCTTCCCATCATGAATGAATTCTTTACTTCTGTTAACTGGGTATTTTCTACCTTAGGACTCAACAAATGGCAGCATTTTACATCAGACTGACGAGTCCTGCTGCTCCCTTACAGTGTCTGACAGACCACTGTGGATTCAGACTGGGGGCACTGAAGTTATCAGGGAAATTGGCAGGTCTGTCTGTCTGTTTTAAGCCCTGCCTTAAGTGAAACGGGGCGCTATGTTATCAATCAGTCATATGCAAAGCAGGTTAGGACAGACGTAATGAACTACCTGTTATTTTATTTCTCTCTTCTTTTTGAACACTTCAGATAGAGCTTGTTCTCCCTGACCGAACCTGATGTCAGGATTGACATGTGTTTTCTTGAAAAGATCTGCAATAAGTTTCTCTTCAGACTTGCTTATTAAATTTTACATTGCACAGTCAGATTGAATACCGTTATAATGTAAAAGCAAAAAAGAGTGATTTCAAAATAAGATTGTATTCCCTAAACCAGCAGTTCTCAAACATTTTTATGTGGATCACATCTTAGTAGGAACCACTTTGTGGGCAATTCATTTATTATCTGTGATTATAGGCACTGATTCTTGCCTTTGCTTATGTGCAAAAGTAAAATTAAGAAAGAATTTAGTGACATTTTAGTCTTTCTAATGAAACTTTGTAGCTAAAACAAGGAGGAGAATTGAAAACATGAGCAGCAAGATCTCATGAGAAACTCGCAAGTGGCATACGGACTGTAGTTAGGGAGCTACTGTTCTAAGAAAACGAGGTGGTTTTCTTCTTCCTGTCTTCCTCCCTTCCCCCTTTTTTTTCTTTTCAAAGCTCTGATTTGAGTGGAGTACCTGTTATTTATGTTAACACTTAATATACATGCTTAACTTTCGACATGTGCCAAAGTCTGTAATGGGATTCGAAACACGAGCAGATACTTAAGGTTATTGGGAATTTGAGCCTAGATGTGTGTTTACTACTTAGTTTTCACAGGGATGTATGTATGTCTTTATCTTTTTTAAGCTGGAGAGGAAATAGGACAGTGAGGAAAACTTATATTTACTATAAATGGAGTTTGATTTACATGAAGAATTCATTATTTTTTTCTTTGCTGTTTGAACATAAAAGAATTTGATCCAGTACTATCCCATTGCATTAGGTTTGGGATTAGATATGTATTGGGTTTGTTTTTTATAATCTGAGATTTGTTGCTGGTAAAACAGAAACTATCACTGAGGATGTGAGACAAGTAACGTTCCTCCTGGAGTCGCTAAAGCTGGCATATAAACTTGAACAGGAGAAGCTGCCTGGTAGTAAATAAGGGTGTTCTGGCATCTTCTAATGAAAAGAATCAAAAAGTAGCAGAAGGCTGTAGGAACTGGCTTGTTTAGTAGCGCGAGTGCCTTGTTTGTACCGATCATTTCTGCCAGGTATTGATTCTGAAAAGCACTGTGGCTTTATCACTAGCTAGGTTGGTAGATGATGTGTGAAAAGTAAAACTGCATACCATCAGAATGAGTAAACACTTGTGCGTGTTAACTGTGTTTATTTAGACAAACTAGTAATTGTATGCATGTTCAGATAATTGAACCGAGTTCTTGGCTTGTTTATTTCTTGGTAGATCACAGAAGTTTGCTAGCTAATAATAGTGTCACTGAGGCTTGAATTTAGAAGTGCAGGTGTTTGGACATATTGGCTGAACTGTCATCCTGCCTTTTATAGGATTTCTGATATTTCTGAGTCGAGTTAGGTTCTGTGACATGCTATAAAAGCTTCTCTTTGCAGGACTTCACGGATACATGGTACTAATTTAATTTTGGAGAATTTCATATTGGCTATATGCTTTAATGACCAATATCAGATGTTTTGCAGCCTGGAGTACTGTGGTGTTTAGTTACCAGCACCAACAGTGAGTGCTATTTAAAAGAGGGAAAAATATAGTAGTTCTTCCTATGTGGAGCTTTGTCTAGCCTCCTCTTTACAGAGGTTCTGCACGTTTATCTCCTGCATCTTGGAATGGAACGTAGTTAAAAATGGGCTTAACTATATAGCAATTCTGAGCATCATACCCAAGTGAGGATCCATTGGGTATTAGAACAAATGTCTACATGGTTCTTTAACTTGACTGTCTGTGTATAGAAACTAGCTGCATCTTTGCCTGGATCTGTTAAATTTCATAATTACTCCTCATTTCCTCCTTTCTGTATCAAGTTTCCCAAAATTTCATTCCTGTTTTAATTCTTTCCACTGCATTATATAGGATATAAAATGATGTATTTTTCTGTGTTTTATGTTGTCCTTTCTTGGCACAATGAGCAGCTGAGCGATTGGGAAATTCCAGAGTTTTGCCCTTCTCTTCCTGGCCCCGTCTTGTGTTAGGACGGTTTTCACAAGTTCCTCTCTCTGCTTCTCATTTTTTGTATCTCTGTTGGTTATAATTCAGGAGAGTTGTCTGTTCTGGAAAGAACTTTGGGGTTTTCATGCCCGTGTTCCGAGTCCCTTATTTTAATTGTGCTCTGCTATTCGCAACGCTGTTGGCAGTGCTGAAAAATGCATATATACATCTAAAGTAATTTTGGCAGTTTGAGGCTCAGCAGAGTTGTAAAAGGAATCAGTGTGACTGGCCTGCTTCTACTGGAACATTTTTTGTTCCCTTGTATGTTTTGTGAGCAAGGGGTTGGTGGTCTCTTACAACTTATATTATTCTTTAACTCTGGTTTTCAGTGTTACAGAAGTGGCAAGTCAGTGTAGACTGTCCTAATTGTGTACTATGCTAAATGGTTACTGACTGTTGGTGGTCTCATGCCGTAGTTATTTCTTGGACTGTTTTTATCTGCTTTATCATTATTTTATTAGAGTTGTATGGAGAAAATAGGGAAACATAAGCAATAATTGAAAAGAAACATGATTGGCAGCTTTTTATTTTGGTGCTCCCTTGCATTCTTTAGGTCTCGGTAGCTGTAGTACCCACTGAGTGCCATTACAGTGACAGCTCTAGTTTTATATTCTAAACTATATGTTATTGTAGGGACTTTGTACATCAATCTATCTCCTTCATTAACTATCTCTAAGCTACTTTAAAAATTGATATTCTCTTGATGCTGAAACGGGGTGAGACATAGCATAGATTAGTCTGGTAGCTTCTCCAAATCTCCAGTCGACTGAGGAATTTTGTTCACTTGTATTTGTCTTATAATAATGTAATTTTTTTTTTCTTTTGTCTTCTGCGCACAATGCACAAAACTGAACAGGAGAACTGGTGACTTTTTTGGCCACCTCAGATTTTGTTTTCCTACTTTTGCAATATATACTGGAAGACATTTAACCATTTTCCCTTTCTCTCCCCTTTTCAGCTCAGAGACACTAGTCAACTGCTGTTTTTATGGAACCTCACTACACTGCCACGAAGAGCACCAGCTCATCAGGACTGAAAGAAATCTGAGACTGAATTGTCCTATTTTTCCTCTGAAATCTTCACCAAGTAGTAAACATTTTTTGAAGGGGACAGGGGGGAAATATGTTAAAGCACCCCCTCATACCTTGTTAGGGCACCTGTACCTAATGTACATTTTCTTTAAAATTTAAAAAGATGTTAGGAAATATTTTATAAAACTTTTTTGCAATAAATGACGCATGAAATTATTAAAGACTATATGACACTTACATGCAAGGAACCACTTGAATTATTAGTATGAAGAATCACTGCAAATAACTGGGTTTTTTTGTAATGTGACAGTCAACGTTTGTATGTTTTGATAGGTGCCAGTGATGGAGCCAATTGCCTGGGAAGCTGACTGTAACTTTTGAACTTTTATTTTAATTCTTAACTTTAGCGTTGCAATTTTCCATTCTATGAGGCTTAGTTAGTATTTAGTGCAGGTGTTAGAAGAGCTGTGACCTGTGATCAAAAGCATGTCCAAAACCAATTGTATTGTAAAATATGAACAGTCCTGCTATATGAGACCAATATTTCCCGCAGAGGTGATGGAAAGGACAGTGACCCCATCTCCATATATCTCTGTATTATGGGAAAGCTCCTTCTGTGTGAATATGGTTGCATTTTATTTATGCTATTGTAACACTTAGGGAATTGAGGATTGTGGGAAAATGTTAAGAAGGTCTACAACACAGAGAGTAGCATTTTGCTTATGATACTATAACAAGAGGGGACTCGTGAACGGACGGTGATTGAGTGGAATGGCATTTCTATTTCCAATCATGGGTTAATTTTTCCTTTTGACATAAATATTTTTCACATAGGTAACTAGTAGAACAAAGGTTTTATCAGTGTTTCTGATGGTTGTTGATCTGAGTTGCATTGACTTCTTTGAATAGCTGTAAATCAAAATAAGAAAGCCAGTGGATTTTATCCATATTATTCCCCTCCCCCGAAAGGTGTTTGGTAATACTTATTTCAGTGAGCCTAGTAAATGCTGGACACACTGCTGAAAGACTGCGTTAGTAAATATTAATTTATTTGCCACTGATTATTTGACATTGTGTGCACACTTTCTCAGCAGTATCACTTCTTACAATAAATCCCCTGCTAAGAGCATTATATAACCTGGGAAAATAAATATTTGTTTGAAAGAAATGAAAATGTGCACATAATCTAATAAAAGTCAAGTTTTTGTTTCTGTAGAAGTAGAAGGACTTGTACTAAACTCTTTTTGTCCTTACTAATATGCTGATTCAACTGGAGAAAATTAAAGTGTCTTTGTCCAGATCATGTAAAAACAAAGATACCTTTCTGGAGGTATCTGTGCCAGCACAAAGACAATTTCACACCCTTCGCGTATGGAGCCTGAATTAAGAAACCTTGAATTTGAAGTTAGGATGAGTCTGCTGTTTGGCTGTGAAATTGGCAACAGGTTCATCCTTTTTAAACTATGGGAGAGGAGAGAAGTGAGAGGCTGGAAGGTGGTGGGACAGTGATCCAAGTCCAGAAAAGGCGTATCAATGATGCATACGCACTGAGGCAGTTCAGCCTTAGTATTTGTTCAAGTTCTTTTTTTAGAGGTAATTTCTTTATTTATAAACCAGAAATTAAATACTTACTGCCTACTTCTTAAAAAAAAAAAAAAAGTTGTTTAATGCTGTACAGTAGGTTCAAATTGTACCATTTTTTGTAATAAACTACAAATACTTTGTATTTAATTTGAGATTAATATTTGTTCTACAGGGCTCTTCCTTTTCACCATTGTAAGAGGAGGATCAGCAGTCTGGTCCTGTCCATGGCCTGAGATTTGACTAGAATTTCGAAAGATCGAGACATCTGATTTGAAGAAAGGGGAGATTAGTTGGTGCAGCGAGTTGGTGTGCTAGCCTTTTACCTCTGGAGACCAAACCCCAATTGTATTGATAACGAATTAAGGTCTTGGCCTAATAAATAGCGCCTTTATTCATACAAAAAAAACAAAAAATAAAAAAAGAAGCCACCAAACAACATGGCACAAAACCATTTCTGCTCAGGAAAAAGGCCCAGGACTGTAATAGCAGGGTTATTGCACATTGGGATTGAAAAGTGATTGATGTTGTAAGTAGAAGCCAGTAGTGCCTGCCTGTGTGACATCTGACTCTTAACCAGTGCTCTTATTCCCTCACCTTCACGAGCACTTGTGCACAGCAGTTGAAATATATATTAAAAAAAAAAAAAGCTTAAGAGAGATGCAGGTCTCTGCATTGGAAAATATGGGTATATAAGCAAATAGCATAAAAATAGACAAGGTAGCTAACTGTATTTGCATTTGTTTTCAGAGAAAGTATTGCAGCCATTTTGTTTGAAACCAGATTTTCATTTTGAAATGAAATTGTCAGGGATATTCTAATGATAGAGAATTACAGTAATGTATTGCTTTTCACTTTTTTGCTTTAGTTGCTTAATATTTAAGCTTTGCTCCGTGCTACCTTCTTGTCTGTATATTGAATGGTCACTATGCCTCTTTCATTTTGTAGACTTGAATGAGGAAAATATGATTCACCTTTTAAGGTTTGCTGAGAAGTAAATGATAAAGAATGTTGTGTAACATTTATTCAAATAAAGCCTTGATTTTTTTCAGTGCTCTTTTAAAGGGAAATAATGTTGAATAATGTTTTTATGTCATAACTTCCTTGTTTTATTCGTCCTTAACCCGCAAGCCTTTGGTTTATGTTTAAAGTTTTTGGGGTTTTGTTCTGTTGTGTTTTTTGGAATTAAATAGAGATTTAACCGAGGCTACTAATCCACTGTTGGAAGTGTATCATCTGGACAAATCTCTCTCCGGCCTGCCTTTCACCACAGTGGCTAAAACGCATCAAGTCCTCCAGCAGCCAGATATTTTCCATAAAAAATAGGAAAAAGCTTTCCTTTTTGTTCTTGTGTAAATAGCAAGACAAGATCGTACGTGCTCTGTAGAGGCGATGCAAAGAAAGCAGGATGGCTCTGCTGCATGGCTGCAACGGAGAAGCGCTAAGTCCAGGTGAAAAGGAGGCAAGTGGATGTCCTGGTGAGAGGTTGCTGCCCCTTCGGATGTGCTTGCAGCCCCGTCCAGGGGCGCCGAGCGTGCGGCGAGCTCGGCGCTAGCGTAGCGTCCCTCGGCGCCGCCGCACGGAGGGCATGCGACTGCGGCCGGACGAAGCCTGGGCTGTCGCTGCAGCAGGGAGGCGCAACGCAGCTGGAACACAGCAAAAGCGCCGGCCTTCGAATACCTGCGCTCCGCCGGCTGCTCTTTTCTTTGACTAGTTTTTACTTGTCACGGTAACAGTTTCAGACAAGTCTGTCCAGTGCAGGTAAGTGTAATAGGGTATTTCTCCGTTTAGGTAAGAAATGCCTGGCGCCCAGTTGCATTATCTCCTGCTTGCGCTTCAGGGCACGCTGCTCCCTCAGCGGGGCGCAAGGCACGCTCCGGCGGCTGCCTGCCCCGGCCCAGCCTGCCGCCCCGGCGCCGGCTCCCTGAGTACGTCTTCCCCGGCAGAATCTGTAAACATAAACTAGCATTTATATCGATTGCTTCCACTGACGTTTTTATTACTTTAAAGAAAAGGTATCCTAATTTTACTTGGGACCTTAGGTCAAACATCAAACAAGCTGCTTTGGTAAATTTGATTTTGAGGAAGTTCTTACTTCAAGGAAATATTTGGGTTTTTTGGTTTGTTTTTGTTTGAGTTTTTTGTTGTCGTTGTTGTTTTGAGGTTCATGGTAGCCAGGAACTAGCAGCTGATACAGAAATACCAGCCCTTTTGTAAGTGAGGTGTTTTGTTGCAGTGACCTGTTGGCAGCAGTCAGAAGACTTTCCCAAAAATTGAATGTGGAGTGACAGAGTGCGTGTATGCAGGCTGTAGCAACTATCTTGGCCCTTTCATGCTTTTAAAAATCAGTTTGATGCCTACTATAACTGTGAGCAGAATCTCCGTATCTGTCTTTTGCTTGGAACGGGGATGCAGCATACTGGTTTTTTCATTTGCTCTAGAGGGTTGTTTCTTATTGCGTCCGGATTACAGGAACCCCCATTTTCTTTCTCCCATTATTCATTCATTCTTGAAGCAGTTCCTCCTGAATTGCTATTTCTCATTAGAGTTTGGTGGAGAGGGGAAATCCTGCTGAAGTGTAATTGCTCCCTAATGGCTTTTCCTTTGTGACATTGTGCCGGTAGCAGCTCGCTGTGGGAGCCTGCTGAATTTGCTGCATGACTACGGCACCCACAACAGCCCGTTAACCGAACAGCTTTCAGAGTGCTGCAATTACTCCACTGATTAATCTTCACTCCAGTGGTTGGGTGACGAATGCACAAAAGTAACCCAGCCTTCAGAGACGAAGCCAGTCCTGCCCAGTGCCGCCCAGTAATAGTGTTTACTGCTTCCCTGAAGCATCAAACGGGTGATACTTAATGAGGGCAAAAGTGCAGGCAGCGGCTGCTCGCTGCAGCTTCTGGTGCAGGAGGGTTTTGTGGTAACTTGCCAGCTAGAATGAGAGGGACCGGTACAGGGAAGTAAGGTTTGTTTTTTGTTTTTTTGTTTTGGGGTTTTTTTTAAGGGTGAGGGCAATCGGCAGATTCCTTAAGGAATTAGGTAAATCAGTAACAGAGAGATGAGGTGGTAAATTCAGACAGTGTCACATGCTCGTTACTATTAGGCACTATGTGGTGAAGAGCGGAGTGCGAGACTGAAAGCAGTCATCTGCCCGGAGCCTCATCTGTAATTAAGGAAGTCATGCGAGCGGCTACTCTCACATTACCTTCGTGCTCCCTGGTGTTGGGCTGGCTCATTTTCCTGACTGACAGTATCCTCCAGAGCTATTAGGAACATGAGGGGCTGCTGAGAGTTACACGAAGTCCTTTGCATGCTTTTGTGCTGACAGGACAGTTGGGGACACAACAAGGTTGGAGTGATTGTCTGATGCATAAAATGGCTGTAGCTGTGCTTTGCAGGGAGCCCCCATAATGCAGCAGAGAAGCTGGACTGTTTAAAAAAGCAGCTCATCCCTCTGCTCAATCAATGGCAAAGTAATGCTCAAACTGCCAAATGCTAATGAGTGTGCAAAGAGGCTGTCAACAGAATGACAAAGTAATATCAGCAGGCCTCTGAGCAACTGCAGGGATAGTAACAAGCAAATGTGAACATTGCGTTGGTATCCACTGCCACTCACTGTTGTCATTTTTTTTTCTGTTGTTCACTTGTCCTCGCTCAAGTCCTTGTAAATGGATTTGTCACTCTCCCTCTCCGTGCAGGAAAGGCTGAGCGGAGGCATAGCTTTGGAAAGGAAGCGCGCCTTGCGGTTCTGCACATACTGGATGGCGGTAGAAAAAGAAACACTTTATTTTCTCATTCATGCAGTGCTAGCAGCATTTTTTATTTACATTCTGTAGCCTGTTTGTATGGTTCGTTCATGCCTAACGCTTGTGTGTTTCTGTGGTTTTTGTTTTTATTTACTCACTGGATTTGGAGCCCAAGCCAGGGGCTGAGGTGGGCAGACGGTACACCAGTGCCCACCCATGGTTTGGGGGCCATTCTGAACTTGGGATAGTTTTTCAAAGCCACGCAGGGATAGCCTTAACTTTGAAATCCATAATTTCAGCTAAGAGCTCTCAGTCTAACAGCTTAGGGACTTGAATTTCCAAACGTGATCATCTTGCTCATTAAATATTAAACTGAGGCTGTGTCTACTTGCTGCTTCATTCAAACATGTAAGTACTCTGAGCCATCAGAGAAAGGGACTGGGACTGTTGTTTCCAGAGTGTAAAAGGACCATGCTAAATATAAGATCCCAGAAATACTAATACTGTTCAGATATGGATAATCCTTTCGTGAGTCACTGAGTTTACTCTGTTTACCTTTAAAAAGATAACGTTGCAAATGAGCTCTGAGAACAGGGGCTGGCTGAATCGTACATTTGTATTAATATGATGAAACTATATCAAGAGCCATTAGTTGCATTTGGCTTAGTAAACTTGATGCAGGCTCCATGTATCACAGCCTCAGTTGTATTTTTGCATGGACTGGGCACGCACAAGCACATTGGGTCCCAGAGGGAACTGCTGCTTAAAGGGCTAGGGGACAGGTCTGCAGTGGTATTCAGTGCCACGGGGTCATGCTTCCCACCTCCTTTTTCCCCCCAAAGTTTCCAAATCTTCCAATTCCTCCTTTTTTGCATAGAAAAGTGGCCCAGCATGAAATGCCACACCCACATGAGCTAAGGGAAATGGGTCAATCTTCACAGAGATAAAGAGAGATGCAATTGTCAAAAGCTGTGTTCAAACGCAATTAGCTGAGCTGAGCCCAGCAGCCCTGCAGCCTCTCCAGGGCCCATCTTGGCACTTGCCAGCACCACTCCAGCAATACATTTAGGAATCTACTCCAGCAGCTGGGCACAAAGCTATTGACTAGACTAGATAATATTGTTTCTTTTTTCCTCTTCCTAACATCTCACTTAATTGATGCATCAATCTGCAGCAGGGGTGCTGTTTGGTAACACCTCCAGCCTTTCTGTGCTCAGGGCTGTACCTGAAGGACAGGCTGTATTTTTCATTCCAAAATTAGAAATGGAAAAGAAAAAACCCACCGAACAATGTATAAATATTTATACCAGATTAATAGAAATGGCTAATGTCTCAGGGCTTAGAAGACTCTTACATCGTAGTTAGCTGCTGCTGAAGGGTCATGTTCTTGGTCAGCAGTAGTGCGAGAGCCACGGACAGGCAACCAAATACCAGTGCTGATCCAGTCACTAAAATGCAGCTGAAAGATGTGGTGCAGGCAGTAATACCAGAATCCTGTTTTTTTAGGCTAAGAACACATCACATTATTATCAGTCTCAGGAGAGCTAAGAAAGGCTATTTCTATGCTGTTCATTTAAGGAATACTGGCTTTGTAGAGCTCCTTCTTGAGGACCACCTGCTAATGAGAAACAGGCAAGCATGGATACTCGTTGCTGACTACAATGTTGAGTCATAGCTGCAAATGGTGAAGTTTCCAATTGGAAAGATTACCACGGAACATGCAGAATCAGAAAAAAGTGCTTAATAGTTTTCAGCTGTTCTAAGATGTTTAATCTATAAATGACTTTGCCCTGTCAGGGTAGGCTGTAATGACTCTGGCGTAATGCCACAGCAGCCCAGAGCCTGACAATTTACTGTGCCTCGGGAGACTGTTTCTTTGACAAACAGGCTAACCAGAGCCTCTGTTGCTGAAAGATACTCCCTAGCAATTACATCCTTTCGAGCAGGAGGCTGCA